CATACATAACACGGGACGAAAGTAACGGAGCGATTTAATCCGAGCCCAAACAACTTTGACCGGCCAAATTACGTCAGAATTATCAGCATTCAATACTTAACAGACCTACTAAATATCAGGTTTAACTGTCAGGAGTAGCTAGTGTTGTCACGATACCAACATTTTGGTTTTGATACCAAGTCAAGAATTGCGATTCCGATTATTTTTCGATATTTTCTTAAAAAAAGGGAAACGGTCTTAAATGTAATTATTGTGCTTTATTTCACACCAGAACCATAACCATAACACAAACGTTTAAACAATGAGAACAATAAATAAAATAAATGACAAGAATTCGTATTAAATAAAATTAATAAATGTCTCACAGACAGGCCTCATGGTGTCCGTAGGCTTGCCCTCACTGTCAGAGATATAGCTCAAATACTTCCAAATTTCGCTTCTGGCGTCTTTTTGTCAACAAGCCGAGGCGCAGCGGCAGTTGCACTCCCACTGGCAGCCATGCTTCTCGTTTTCTCACATGCTCTGGCAGCTAGCGCGTGCATGAGAGAGGGGAGGGACTTAGAGCGTGCTTGAGAGGGGAGGGACTTAGAACGTGCTTGAGAGGGGCGGGACAGCAGGCACGGCTGCAGTGCAGGGAGTGGAAGCAGAGCGCTGAACACACACGGCTCTTATTAAAACGGCGCTTTCTCACCGGAGTACTTTTCCCCGTCATTCTTAAAGTACCGATACTAATGAAACGGAGGAATCGTAACGTTTTTAACGGCAGGGTATCGCGGTACCTTTCAAGTATCGGTACACCGTGCAACACTAGTAAGGAGTCAGTGTCTCTCCCCCAAACTCACACATATAAAATTCGATATGAACTGAAGAGCCGCATGAAACTAGGCAAAGAGCCGCATGCGGCTCGAGAGCCGCGGGTTGGCCACCCCTGCCCTATGTGATGTTTGTTTCACAGTACAACTCACGTAAAAAACTAAATCGTAAACCCACTTTCTACGACGGGATAACCCCTTCTTCGAGTAGCCCTTCTCATAAACGTCATGGAGTTTTAATTACGTTTAACTTTAAACAATTTAGACATTGTACATCTCACCCAGTATTGGAAAGCCTTTCTAAGTCCGTTTGGTCTCGTGAAGTCAATCAGTTCCACCCCCGCCGCTGGTCCTCTCGTCCCGTACTGTTTTTGTTGCGGGGTAGAGGGAATCCGAGGATTCTGTAGCGACCAACCAGCGTTCGTAGGTGTTCCCAATCGAACTTGCAGAGACCCTGCTCGCAGCGCCAATTGTTATGGAAATCTAAAAACCCCAATACTGTAGAGTACAAGTCAGAAAACAAATACATGGTGAAACAGACAGAGTTGTCTTTCCGGTGACGTTTATTCGAATAAACATCAGATACAATAAAATATAGACACAGGTCTCACAGAGTATAGGATAGTCTGCGCGAGTGTGCGCAGTTCAATATTATAGCGAAGCTTATATAGTAGAAATGATGAGAAGGTAAGAAATCTGTCTTCACACGGTCACATTGTTATTAGACACCTGGCCTTGAGCTGTAGAAGTTCTCGTGCGACTTTGTGTGAGTCTCAACCTAGTAGCCAAAACAGCTCTGTGGCCTTGAAGTAGGACAGATAGAGCAAACAGCACATCTAAACCAAATGAGAAGCATTTGGTTTTAACATATCAGGATATTAGGAAATTTCCACTACATTCCGCCCCCGAGATATTCGGGCGGGCCCTGCTGCCTCGCGCCACTGAGTGCACTGACGTTCGTGGTCATATTAGGTATAAAGCATTGTAGCCTATAATATGAGTTGAACTTGTTCTGCTATTTTCACACTCACATTTAACATTAAAACATGAAAAATGGCAAGTGAATCCCTTCTATTGTCTCCAAATGTATTTTGGGCAAAATCGTCATCAACAGCCGTCCATCAACACCATACGTAAATGAACGTCAACGTCATCATCAATCACTTGTCATTCAACAGAGCACTGCCTAAGCATGAGCAGTTATAAACACAAAAGTGGAGCTACAAAATGCAAAGAAAAAGATAAAAAAGGAGGACCAAGGAAAAGCCAAATTGTCCAAGCTCGATGGATATTTTTTTCGCCAGCCGTGTTTCATCCCCGAGCCCGCCAACAACGTTAGTGGGGGTTAGCCAGATTTACAGGTAGGCTACAATCACGGCCACACACTGTCAACAAGAAAATGTGAGTTTGTGGTAAATGTTGATATCATATGGTTGTTGTTACTTCGTGTAGCTCGGCCGCCTAGCTTATTTCCTTTTCTGTCTCTCGGCTGTAGTGATGATAATAGGGACGACTCAGCAGCTGCTAGCTGCTAGCTGCTCGTCTAGAGGAGAGCCAGGCCTGACGCTTGACCAGCCGCACCCCTCCCCCTCCGGCTCCTTACTGGCTGCGCCGCAAGGTGAAGAAGTACCGGACACTCTTGCCCTGGCTACTAAATGGGGAAGTCAAACACAGTTTGAAACAACCAGGGCCAGGAAAGTTAAGAGACACTTTGATGAACTTTCTGAAGACAGCCGCCTCACTGACGCAGAGAGCAACTTTCGGGTGACCGTTTTCAATGCATGTCTCGATATAATCATCCAGCAACTGTCCCAAAGATTCACCAGTTTAAATGAAACTGTGAACATGTTTGAGGCAATTCACCCCAACACACTACTGCAAGCAAAGGATGAGGATTTACACCAAGCTGCTCAGCGGCTTAGAGAGCACTACAGTCGGGACATCGCCGCCAGCTTCCCTGGCCAGCTGCTTTCTTTCAGAACCTGTTTCAGGGACCAAATACAAAAACTAAAATCTGTCGCGGATCTGGTAAAAATGCTCATTGTTTACAACCCAGCAGTAACATCTACATTCAGTGAGGTTTGCACAGCCTTCATCTTATTTCTGACTCTTCCTGTCACCGTGGCAACCGCCGAGCGCTCTTTCTCCAAATTAAAACTCATCAAAAACTATTTGAGGAGCACGATGGGACAGGAGAGACTGAGTGGACTGTTCTTGCTGTCCATCGAAAGTGACCGAGCCAAGAAATTGGACATACAGCATATTGTGGACAAGTTCGCGGAGCGCAAGGCTCGCCGAGTAGGCCTACCCTTCAAGTAGTGGTGAGTACACTTCAAATTTAATTTGTACAGTAGCCTACTTGTACGTGAATGTATGGGCCGCCGTGCCAATTTTACACTGCTCTGCTCTCATGGTGGCTGTCCATGGTGAATGGTGTGTCAGAAATGTAGTCATTTTATTAGGCTATGTTTTCATTGTCCTTGTGGTTTGTTGGACTTTATGTCATGTTATATCATTATTATCTCTGTTATATATTTCGTTTCTATACCCTTTGTAAAAACGAAACCTTAAAGGGATAGTGGAAATGGAACCTCAAATAGTTTCGTTTTAACTTATATACAAGCATAATTACTACCAAAACAATCACACCTGATTAAAAAAATATAATAATTGCCTTACGCATGTTAGAAGCACTTTATTGCAGCTTCCCCGAAGTTTTTTAGAAACGAAATGTTTCTCAGCCTAACCGGAAGTGACGAAAACTCAGGAAGACGATACGATAACAAACCATGGCGTCTATGCAGAATGAACGTGGAAGGGCAAATATACCAGACAAAGAAGAAGGATTGTACGAGGTATCCAGTGATGATAGCGAGTCAGAAACATCCTCTCGGCTTTCCTACGAAAATGTCGTTTTAGGAACTGAATCTGAATCCGGTTCAGTAAGCGACGATGGTGACAATATTGAGCCAGAAGATGGACCATTACGTCCTTATTTGTTCGAGCCCGAGCCCGAGGTGATGGTTCACGGCATGGGCAATGGCGAGGATGACCAGGACCAGGCGCCAGATGATGCACCCCTACGCACAAATAATCTTGACTGGTAGGTCCCTAAGCATAGCTCACGCATCTTAAGATCACCTGTAGCCTTTACAAATATTAATCATTGTTAACCAGTTAAGGCCGAAGGTCCCCCCAGTGGACCCCTCCCACAGTTTTTTTTCTCTCACATGTCTCAGGGCTTCTTAACATTTATGAAACTATTAATGTTTCATACCCTTTTAAAGGTAAGAAACTCCGCTAACTGACAATAAGAACAATTGTTAGCTAGAAAAAACACACGAGTAATACCAAGCCTTTGAATTAGCATTGAGCGAAACAATGCTAACTAATGCTAACGCTTTTTTACACACAACACACGGTAGAAATGCCCTTATTACTATCTTAACTGCACAAACAAGATATGCGATTTAAAGCTGAGACTCCACAGATTCCACACATGTAATGTCATCACTGTAAGACCTCGAATTCCTGGAGCTATCAGCCAGAAAAGAGAAAGTAAACAACATCCGGTTCCAAAAATATTACAATAATTACGTCTTACCTTTTTTGATTTGTGATCAAAAGTTGTGTTCAACGGAATAAAAACGCATCTCAAGGTTAATCCAATGTCGTTGTGTCACGTAGAATTTTTCTGTCGCACTACAGCCATACAAAACACATCTATTCACCATAATAAAGGTCGGCTATTCACATGCAAATGCTATTGAATGTCCGCTATTGTTTGTGCCCGTCTTCCTGAGCTCTCGTCATCACCCGAAGATTCCCGACGATTCCCGAAGTATTTAGTTTAATTGAGAGGGCGCAGTAAAATTGAAAATAAAATGAAACCAGGCGGATGAAATAAAAAAAAAATTGTTTAATATGCTTCTTTTTAATAAAAATACATAAGTTAAACCCAAAATTCGCGGATTTCCACTATCCCTTTAAATATTACACCTTTTTCTTTAGTTACTTTTCTTTCAAACATTGTTTTAAATTGTAATCTTACTGACTGAGCGACTTTTTACGCACGAGCGTCAGATTACCACCCCGGACTCCCGATATTTTTGTCAAGCTTTATTGGGTTTAAAGGGCCCGGTCATGTGGCCCCGCCCCCCGGCCCGGGTCTGATATGTGCCGCCAGTGGTGGGTGCGCATGGTATCCAACCATCTTTGGTACTGTGTGTGTACATGTGATGGTGACGCGTTACTGCTGAAGGAGAAATGGACGTACATCCTCCATCATATCATCAATGTTCACGAGTGGCTGTCGGCAGAGAAGATGCTGAAGTGTGAACACGAGCCTTATTCTGAAGAGGATGGGAGTTCCCGACCTTGGTTGGAGCGTTCATCCAAGGCCTTTGGCACTCTACAGAAAGTGGTCATGGACAAGAGACTGTTGAAAAAACTATAAGGTATTGTCTTAATTGCCCTTCTTCATTTATATATTCTGACCTTATAAATTCACCACAAAGCAGTATATTTATCTAAAGAGAATATATTCAACGGATGTAGCCCTGAACAAACAGTAAAATATGAAATTGAAAATATGTAAAAAATACAAACACATGCATAATTAATATCAGTATTTGAATTATCCACCAACCATGGGTGATTATTCAATAGTGATGTTTGAGAATTGCATGTCTGGCATCTCTCGAGTCCAATAGTTCGCAATCTGACAAATTAAGTAATAACAAAAATGCTAAATAATGCTGACATTCATGACCCACTCTGTTCAATTGCAGGTTACAGAAGGGATCCATACTGGCGAGCTGGAGAGCATCCATTCTTTGTATACAAAGTACGTTCCAAAGCGCAAGAAGTTCACGGAGGAGAGCTTTCAGGCACGCCTCGCTGCATTGGATCACAACCACAACATCGACCGTGAGCAGGCACAGACCAAGAAGGGGGCACTGCAGTTCAAACTGCAGTACTCGAAGCCTGCTGGAGGATATGTGGTGAAGGCGATGAAGACACCAAAAAGCTACAACTTCCGAAGAGAAATCATGGTAGGGGTAGTCGAGAGGTGTTTATCAGCATCGTCCATGAGGTCCGAACTTGCAGAACACCGTCATACAGATGCAGAGAAGGAGAAAAGGACACTTGGTGCGCATAAAGGCCTGGTAAAACCATCGAAGGAGGATGCTGTGGCACACCACCTAAGTCGATTTGTGAACAAGTAATGTCGGTCTCTATGTGTCTGTCGTATATACGAAGCCAGCCTGTGGGGCTCAATGTGTCTGTGGTGTATGAAGCTTAGTCAACCTGTGGGGCTCTGTGGCAAATAAATAAAGGACGTCTATGGCTGAAGTAATATATGTTGGTAGTATTTGTATATTATTATTTGAAGGGTAAAAACAGTTTGGTTCAGGAAAATGGTCTTTATTACTTTATGAACATCGAGCACTGAAAAACATTTGTAGAATCTAGTGAGATACATGTATATGCTTGATAATATAAGTTGTAAATACTGTTCTGATATATCACAAACATTGTATGAATGGTTCCATTATCAAAGTAGAATTTTCTTCGCTAGCCTAAATGTCACGATTTCACTGTCAAAGATTTGCCTTCCATGCATGGAATCATTGGTCACATCATATCCCTCCAGAATATTCAAATCCTTTGTAGGTTACTGATGGGTAGTGACTTTGTATCCGATTCACAACACAGGCAGGTATCGGCACTCTGTTCCCTTTTCCAAGGAAACCTCTAGTCCAGATGGTGAATTGCCGATAAGCTGTTAGTCTGTAGAGGCTGAAATAAATAGGATACACATATAAATACAAATCATTTAATTTAAAACAATTATATATTTGGTCCCCGGAATTCCCCACCCGGCCGGCGGATAATTAATTTTCTTTTGGCGAGTAATATCATATACAATAAATATTACGATCAATATCCATTGTAAAATGAATAAACTACCGGAATATTATAGCTGTAATTGGTGTTTCCTTTCCCCTTTAATTTAACACGATGTGACCTCTACACATAGAGCCCCTTGGTCTATTTGTCGTTGAGCGGGGTCCTATGTGTCCTGCTTTATATGCTGATGTTGTTGATGGGATGTGCGTGTCTCTCCCTGAGACCTGAGATCGCACTCGAGCAGAAACCACAGTGCTAATTGGTGGCTTGAAATCCCGTCAGTGGAGCCTCAGCTCTATAAAGGTCAACTCAACTCATACAATTGAGTGCTCACTTGATTTTTTTATTAACATGGCTGACAGACTTGGCCCAGAAAATCAAATGAGAAATTACACCTACTGTAAGTGTTGTTGCCTATAGGCCTGTTGAATTCACAAAGGTTAGCTTTTAGTTGCTTATTACATTATATTTGTATATGTTCAAATTAGGGCCGGGAGGGACTCGATTAAAAAAATTAATCTAATTAATTAGAGGCTTTGTAATTAATTAATCGAAATTAATTGCATTTTTAATCACATATAAATATTTGACCTGAGAACAGTGAGAAGCAATTTTTTTCACATGGATTTTAGTATACCATTAGGCACATTCACACCGCAGTACTTTTCCCACAAAGGTTCATGAGAACTCTTTGAATTTGGGGGTGGATTAGGCAAATGAAGCCGCTGACGTCACTTCTTCTTCTTCTGCTTTGGGTTTACTGGCAGGCCGCAAACCACTTCACGGCGTATACTGCCGCCCAAAGTCCCCGGAGTTGGGGACTGGCTTCAGTAGAAGCTGCTGGGAGTCCCAGCAGCCTTCCGAGTAAATCGCCAGAACGCCGACACCTCCTCATCTCCACCGCTCCCATGTTTTATTTTGTGTTGCCATAAATTAGTCTCTCTGCGTTTCTGCGCTGGGCTAATGCTAATAATGCTAATGCGAGGATAATAAAATTCACAAAACTTTTTGGGAGTTTTACGGGGCGTGGTTTGCAATCCGCCCAGCCAATCAGAAATATAGCTCTTTTCTCACAAGAGAGCCGTACGAAAGTCCCTGCTCTCTAGCAGCTCTCTAGCAGGGACTTTCGTGGGGGTAAAAAGGTTCTCATGAACTAATTTTAGTACCGGCTCTTTTTGGTGTGAACGCGATAAAAGAGGCTAACGTCCACGCTAGTTTCCACGCTAGCTGCTATATGTTTTGCATTGAGGTGATACGTGAGGCTTGATGTGCTGCGGTGATATGCGAATTCCTTTTTGCATAATTTGCACACAACCGTGCTCTTATCGACGCTTCCATCCGTCCTTTTTTAAAAACAACATATCCCACTGTTGTTCACTGTGGTTTGTTGTTGTCTGAAGTCATGAACGTTAGTTGGTGCTCCAGTATAATCGGTACGCCTGAAACTCATCCAGTGAGAAAAGTTCCGCGGTGCAAAAATAAGTGCGATTAAAATGCGTTAATTTTTTTAACGCGTTAATTTTTGTGTAATTAATTAATCTTAATTAACGCGTTAAAGTCCCGGCCCTAGTTCAAATGTAAAAAAAACGGTTTGTAGGCTTCGGGTCAGAAAATAAAAAATGTATAGGAAATAATATGTGAAATACGAGTATAAGCTTCTTTAAAAAGAGAATATTGATACTTTTCAGTGGTCTGTACACACTAAATGTAAAGACACAGCAAGGAGATGGTTAGCTTAGCTTAGCATAAAGACCAGAAGCACGGGGAAACGGCTAGCCTGGCTCTGTCCAAGAGTCACAACATCTGTCTGACAACTGAAAAGCACCCTAAGTAACATGTCTTGCTTGTTTAATCCATGAAAACATTTAAAAAAACGTTTAACCGTCTCCAGTTAATTTAGGTGTAATCGGTACAAATAACCTAGCTATCTGTTAGCCCTTCTTTCTAGTCGTTATGCTAAGATAATGACTGGCTGAAGCATTCTATATACTCCTGTAAACATATAGGCTGTGTGTGGCTTTAAAATCATCTCTTGTGTTCTACTAACACCAACACCCACCCTCTCAACGCTGCTGAAGTATAATGATGACACAACATGCCAAGCACATAGTTGTGATTTAGCATTACACTTACCGGTGGCCCCTATACAGTACATCCCGCCCCCCCCTCCTCACACAGCGGAGACATGACAAATGTTAGTGGCCTGCCATAATGCTGCAAACATCAGCGAACCCCACAAGGAGGATTAATGCCTCGTCTGGCTTTTATTACGCTGTCCTGCCGTCCTTCGCAGGCAGGCCATTCATCCTTGTAAGATGTCCGCATCTGCTCTCAGTGTGGCGCGTTCGCCGTGCGTCTACTCCTGTGTACCTGCGTTTGCATGTATTATGTATGAAAGTCACTTGCTGCGTGTGTGTGAGATCCTAAAAGTTAATCCCAGAGGGGGTTAAATCACTTGTCCAGTGGCGGGCTTTCCAGGGCCATGTCTGGCTTGTCTTATCAATCTATCGACGTGGCACCTGCACGAGGAGCCGATGCAGGAGGCGGCTCCTTCGCCCCACCACACAGGAATACTAATGCGGATGCAGATAGCTTTTGCTTTGGCCACCTCAGCAGACATTGATCCCCCTGCGGACTTCTATGTGGGTGACAGATGGACTGTCACCTCTGAATGAGAGGAGATTGGGACACGTCCCCTCACATCTCCCTCAGCGGGGGGGTGCAGACACTCCCTCCGTTCTGTCCTGCTCATCCGTCCGTCCTTTGTGTCTAAATGGCCCTGCTTGCTCTTTCCTCACCACACACTTTGAAAATCTGTCCTACAGCAGTGCATTATTTACAGACAGCGAACCTCTAAGCCTATTTGAGAGGTTCAAATACATAAAGCCACAGAGGGAACATGTTCTGTCTTTCTTCATTTAATTAAGGAAAGGACAGGGGCGGGGTTAGGTTGAGTCCTCTCTCTGTCACTGGAGAGCAGCTGGAGTGATAAAGAGTGTGAGGTAGATCATGATGAAGGTCTTTATAATGCACTTTCTCCCAGTTATGGAGAGTCACTGACCTAAAGGTGTGTGTGGGAGTAGTTCAGTGCACAATGCAGTTTATTGTACCACGGCGAAGATGAAGTATTGAGTATTTTTACCTGAGCCTAATACATGTATAAATAAGGACATCAGAGCTAAACAAATTAATCAAATGAAGGATAATAACATTTATTTTCACTAATTGATCCTTTATCACAAACATGCTGAATATTTGAGGTTACCAGCATCACAAATGTTCGGATTTCCTCTATTTTTATTATTTATGTTTAATATGTTTGGGTTTTGCACCATTGCCCAGGATAAATAATTTAATGACATCACTTCGGGTCGTATAAATTGTGTTTGTGTGTTTGTTATGTTAAAAATAAATGAATCTATTAATGTAAAACACAATCATCAATAATCAAAATGATAATTATTTGAAGCCTTTTTCAAGAATGATGACAAAAAGGAAATCCCTTTACAACTCATTCAAACGTCTTTATTTTGCTAACTAAGATATCTCAAATATTATTTTTATTTGATATTCAAACGTAATTAAATCCATATTAAAAACAAATGGGATTACCCGGAGGTGTTATAAACTCACCTGTTGCTGTGCTAAATAACCTCTCTTCTTCAAATCCCACTTATCAGCCAGCAAGGCTCCTGCAAGGCATGGAGAGGAGCTATGCAAATGACGGGGAAAGAAAGGCCAGATCTAATCTTAAGGTTTATTCTAATTAAAAGCGATTTACGTTCCCTGAGAGGGAAGCTTAATGTCCTGTTCTCAGAGGAGATGGCGATCCTCAAACTCAATTAGGTAGGAGAAGATGCACTTGGGTAAAGTTTACTCTGGATGGAGCTGCTTAACATGCAGCGTAGGAGCAGGCAGAGAAACCTTAAGGAAAGAGAAGGACGGAGAAAAGTTAAGGATAGGCTCCATTACCTGTTTGTACTTTAGGCAAGCATAACCTCAGACCTCCGTTAAACACTTCACTTTCATTATTGTTTTTCTTTTTATATCAGTGTAATCCATCAAAAGCTACATTTAAACTTCTTATTTTCTTAGAAGAGAAGTGGTCGCCAAAATGTCTTCAAAAATAGTTTGATGATGTTTTCTAATTAACACAAGTGTTGCACAGTTTTGATAAATTATTTTATTGTGTCAAAGCATTTTGATAAAAAAATGAATAATTGTGTGATCTAACACCTCCGCTGCAGCTATACATCTTTTATCGAGCAGCAACAGCTTCTTTAATATCACACTGTCGTTTGAATAGATAAAGAAATACAAACTAACAGAGCCAATCATCTCAGGATCGGTTGGATCCTGGTCAACAGGAAATAAGTCTAAGGCTTAGATTCCCCGTCTTTAAAAATAAATTTGTGTGTGTGTGTGTGTGTGTGTGTGTGTGTGTGTGTGTGTGTGTGTGTGAGCAGATGCTTTGGTAGCTCTTGTTACGCTCACATACACCTGCAGAGCGTTCATGACAGCCATCGCATTACATCATCATGTTGGATGAGTGAGCATGCTCAGCGTGACCAAGATCAAATCTGGCTGTGTGTGTGTGTGTGATAATATGATGTATACAATAGTCTTTAAGCGATCCCACACTCAAGTAATGGTAATACGTTTTGGCTTTGCTGAGCCACACACATTTTTCAACAAATTATTTACTGTATTTTAATTAAATATCACACCAATATCATAATTTTAACA